AGCAAGTCTCAGGCTCATGATCCTTGAGGTCTCTTCCAACCCAAACCATCTGTGGATTCTATGGTAAACAGTCATAATTGAGAAGTTTTGATAACCAGCAGCAGCAGAAGACTCAGCATTTGGGTTGAACTGCACAACAGTTCAACCAGGAAGGTTGTGGAACAGATGATCTCAAGTGTGATCACACAGCACATACAGGACAACCAAGGGATCAGACAGCCAGCACGGGTTTAGGAAGGACAGGTCCTGCCTGACCAACCTGATCTCCTTTTATGACCAGGTCATCCATCTAGTGGATGAGGGAAAGGCTGTGGATGTGTCTGCCTGGACTTAGCAAAGCTTTTGATACTGTCTCCCACAGCATTCTCCTGGAGAAGCTGCAACCTAGGACTTGGACAGGGGCACTCTGTGCTGGGTTAAGAACTGGCTTACGGCCAGGCCCAGAGTGTGGTGGGGAATGGTGCTGCATCAAGTCAACATCCAGTCACTAGTGGTGTTCCCCAGGGCTCAGAATTGGGTCCAGTCCTGTTTAATATCTTTATTGACCATCTGGATGAGGGAATCAAGGGCAACTTCAGTAAATTCGTGGATGACACCAGTTGGGTTGGAATGTCGATCTGCTGGAGGGCAGGAAGGCTGCAGAGGCATCTGAACAGGCTGGATCAATGGGCCAAGACCAGCAGTGTGGGGGTCAACAAGGCCAAGTGCCAGGTCCTGCTCTTGGGTCACAACAACCCCCTGCAGTGCTCCAGGCTGGGGAAGAGTGGCTGGAAAGTGCCCATTGGGAAAGGACTTGGAGGTGCTGATTGACAGCAGCTGCACATGAGCCCAGATGGCCAAGAAGGCCAAGGGCATGTGGCCTGTACCAGCCATAGTGTGGCCACAGGAGCAGGGCAGTGATTGTCCCCCTGTGCTGGGCACTGCTGAGGTTCCTCGAGTGCTGTGTCCAGTTCTGGGCCCCTCAGTTCAGAAGGACATGGAAGTCCAGAGAAAGGAACAGAGCTGGGGAAGGGGCTGGAGCACCAGGAGTGGCTGAGGGAGCTGAGGTTGTTTAGCCTGGAGAAAAGGAGGCTCAGGGGGGACCTTATCACTCCCTATGACTCCCTGACAGGAGGGGGAAGCCGGGGCAGGGTCAGGCTCTGCTCCTGGGGAACAAGGGACAGGACAAGGGGACGCAGTTGTGTCAGGGGAGTTCAGGTTGGACATCAGAAGGAATTTCTTCATGGAAAGGATGTTAAGGCATTGGAAGGGGCTGCCCAGGGAGGTGGTGGAGTCCCTGCCCCTGGAGGTGTCCAAGGAATGACTGGACGTGGCACTCAGTGCTCTGGGCTGGGTGACAAGGTGGGCGTCGGGCACAGGGTGGACTTAATGATCTCAGAGGTCTTTTCCAACCTTACTGATTCTGTGACAGCATGGAAGGATGTATGGAAGGAGTCCTGTGAGTACAGTGAGATGACCTGTGCAATTGTGGCACAGCTGGACCTGCCATTGTTGTATATTTTGGCCAGATTATGAAGCTGCTGTCTCCTTAGCAGAAATGTCTGTGAGAGCACACCAATAGCAAACAATTAGTGTGAGTCTCCCTTGGCTTAACACTGTGAGGGGTGGACATGGTGTTCCCAGGGTTGCAGTTGCTCCTCTGGTGGAGCTTGCTGGACAGCCTAGGAACTGCTTACACCACTTACAGGGTCTGTCACCAACATGTGTCCCTCTTTATTCTTGGTCTGAAGCACCACTGATGTGTTTGAACATCTCACTCCACAGATCCTGCTCATCTCAGATTATTTCTATGCCTTCCTCCGGCGTGAATACTACCTCACTCATGGACTGCACTTGACAAGGCAGGATGGGACAGAGGCCATGCTGGTTTTGAAATAAGGATTGTGCCCACCTTTCCCTGGGACATGGACTACTATGAGGAACATGCAAAGCTTGGGGTATGTGGGGTGGGTGGGGAAGGTTCCCTGAATGAGGTCTGACTTTGGGGATGATACCTACTGAAAGAAAGGGCTGAGGTTCTGGGAATGTCCTGCTGAGCTGTGGGCTCAGCACAGAGACTGTAAGAGCTGCAGTGCCTCCGTTGGAGCATCTCCCTCCCCTCAGCTGTGCTTTCCACTGCGACCTCAGCCATTAGCTCTGGGCAGCCCAGCAGGAACTGGAGTGTCTGAGCTAAACTCACGAGGGTCCAGGAGGAGCTCAGACTGTGAACTGTTTACTTTTCCATCACTGCTTCTTGGAGATGTTTGCTTCTCCTGGAACCTTCCCCTTCACTGCTTTGACTAGTAAAACTCTGCTTGGCACGAGGCAATCTCTAGGTACCTCGTGCCTGAGCCCTGGCTGCAGAAGCCATTTCTTGGTGGTCCCACTGCTGTGGGATCTGGAAAAATCCCACATGCTCAGGCACAGTGGGTGCTGTGAAAGAGATGGGTGACCGAAGATGATGACCTGTTGGAAGGAGGACAGATGGAGCTGCTGCCACAGGTGGTAACCTTGGCACTCAAACACTAGTGAGAACTGGAGTTGGGGTGGAAGCAGAAGCCGGGGGGAGGGTGCTGGGTAACTGCTCTATCCCATTGGAGCAACACAGACATTTCCATGTTAGGACCATGCACAGAGGCATTGCAGGTCTCAGAAGAAATACTGCTGAGGAGATGGACTCCCACTGCTCCCAGTTTCTGTCGGGTGACAAAGCCTGGCAGTACCAGGCTCACACTGTGCTGCTGTGGTTGCTCGGGGCAGCAGCCTGGATTAGGGACCAGTGGGGATCACAATCTCCCTGTAAGGCCTCAGACCAAATGCAGGAGGAGCCTCAGTCACTGCTGTTATTGTTGGGCTCCTCATGTTCCACAGCTGCTTAACACTAGTGGATGTGCCCTTCTCTTGTCCCCCCTTGCCATGGGCTCATGGCTGTGTGTGGAGGCTCCCTGAAATCAGCCTCCCTTGGTCCCCCCTGCTCCCCTCTCTGTGCTCAGACCTGCTCACCTTGGAGCTGCTGCTGCTCACCCCTGAATGTGGCCCTCTGGGGTGCAGCTGCCAGGCTCTGCTGGCTATGGTGGCACCGGGATGTGACCGCAGTGTGACAGCCACCTGCAGTGTCCCACTGATCCCAAGGGACATCTGAAGGGTTGGGAATGTGACATGGAAACCACAGCTGGTACCAAGCAGCTGAGATGGATGTGCCCAGGCAGGTGTGTAAACATCTTTCTTTCTGGACAATTAACACTTTTGCCTTACTGCACTGCTGTCAGCGCTTTGGGGGGGTGGAGCCAAGCCCAGCTCAGCCCCCAAGCTCAGCTCAGGCCCCGAGCTCAGCCCCAGGTGGGGCAGCCCCAGCAGCAGCCTGAGGGCACAGGGAGGGGCAAAGGGAGCCTGGACTGCTGAGCTGCCAGCAGGGCATGGCAAGGAGCATAATAAACTGTGCAAGTTTTGAACACCTTGTGTGCTCTGTGGTTATAGGGGGGAGCTGGAGGGTGGGTGGGGGCTCTGGGAGGCACTGAGAGGTACGTGGAGGGGTCAGGAGGGGACTTGAAAGCAAATACAGGACTTGGGAGGGAAAACAAGTGACCAAAAAGCACACAGAGGTCTCTAGGCCAGGCTGAAACCCTGCCAGCTTTAGGGAAGGCCAGATATATACAGGTGACCTAACAGCAGTGTAAGAGAAAAGGAGAGAGTGACTTAGCTGGAGCTATGGGAGGGTGCCTATTTTACAGCCCCCTCTTCCCACAAAGCCAAAAATAATTCACCATCAGGAGGGGGACGATGCTGGGAGGCAGCAGGACTGACCCGAGGCCTGCAGGCAGCACCTCCATCCTCTGCAGCCCCATTCCTGGTCCCACCAGTCCCCTGGGCTGGGTCTATCTGGGTCTCCCCGGGAAGCAAGCCCCAAAGCTGGACTCAGAAGTGCTCCTGAGGAAGGTGATGGGGTGAGTTCTGGGGCAGGGGAGGAGCAAGGGGCAGAGGCATGACATTGGCATGAGCAGGGACAGAGCAGGGGAATAGAAGGAAGGGCAATAGGCCAGGAGCATGGTCAAGGATAGGGAAAAGGAAAGGGCAGGAGGGGGAATGGGCAGGGCAGTAGTCAAGGACAGGGACAGAATCAGGGGCAGGGGTTTGGAAACATGGGGACAGGGGCAGAGGGATGTGGCAGGAGCAGGGTAAAAGGCAAGGCTGCCGTCAAAGCCTGATGGGGACAACAGAGCTGACACCCAGGACTGACAGGAGTGCAATGGGCCCTGCCGTGGAGATGAGGAGCAACCCCAAATTGCCTGCAGTGGGCCCAGGGCCTGGGCCTGGCATTGCAGTCATCATGCCACCATGCAGGGCACACAGAAAATCCTTCACTGGAGTACTGTTTTGGTTGTACCCACAGGCTCACAGCTGTATTGACTGTTCTGGGGGGTGGCATCAGTGGGAAGGGACTGCACCGGGGCGCTGCACCTCCTCCCTGGTCTGCAGGAGCTTCTTCAGCAGCACCTGAGGTAGGAGGGTGCCTCAGCCAGGGGTTCCCTCCCTCATCTGCTGAGTCCTGGCTCTTCCCAGGGCTCTGGCTCCGTAGGATGTCAGCACAGACTGGATCTCCTTGTGCCACCATGGCCTCCAAGCAGGTGTTGGCAGTTGCTACAACCATTGCAACAGTCGTGTTGCAAAGAGCAACACATGCACCACCTTCCTGTTGATGCCAAAACAAGGGCTCCCGTGTGGCCTCGGGGCTCCCTGCTTGGCTCCAGGTGACAGTGGGGGCACAAAGGAGGTGATGGCCACCAGCCACCGAGCACTTGGCTGGAGGGGGACGCCTGCCCACCTATCCCAGCACCACACAGGACCTGACTCTGCAGGGGTCAGCTCCTGGACCCCCATGAGCCAGGACAGGCTGCTGGGATCCGCACCCATCTGTGTCAGGCACAGATGGCCGGGGAGGGGCCGGCGCAGTGAACATTAACCCCAGGGCGGTGTCTGGGGCTCCTCAGCAGAGCAGTTCCAGCACCCTGGCAGCACCTGCAATGAGGGGGCTCCAAGTCCGCTACCACCTCCTGGTAAGTCCATCATGATGGGGTCCCACACGGCAATGTAGGAGCTGGCAATGAGCTGGGGGCAGTGCTGGGAAGCACCAGCTAGACTGGACACATGGCTGGACAGATGGACAGGGGCTGCCCTGGGGAGGTGCAGTGGGTGATGGGCACACATGGGACCTGCCCCTGTAGCCACTCTGCCCCCCTAGGATCCAGGCACCCTGGGGGCAGGAGATCCTCTGCCACCCAGTGTTGCCCTCGCTCATCCCTCGTCCCCCTCAGGGCGACCAGCAGGGAATTGCTGCCCACTCACCCTTGGGCATGGACTGCACCCACAGTCAAACTGAGCATGTGGCTGGGAGAGACACTTGTCACCAGCTGCCACCAAGACCAAGGCACATCCCTGAACCCATCCACACCTTAGGGTCAGCCTAGCAGTGGGCAAGGAGGGAAAAGGTCATGCTTTGCCCCTTCTGCTGAAGTGGGACTGAAGTTGTTGAAGCCTCCCCTGCCTTCCCTTCCTCTTCCCTCCTCGGGTGGCCACACGCCCTTGAACTTCCGTGTGCAGCAGTGGCACCGCCTGGCAGAGTGCCAGGCATGGCCCGGCATGGCACAGCAGGGCTGTGGGGAGCAGAGGCTGCCAGGGGCAGGAGGTTCAGCCTAGTGGACTCTGGACCCCTTCGCCCAGCCCCTGGACAGAGGATGGGAGACACCCCAAGCAGTGCAGGGTCGGGAGATGCTGCTCCTTTGGGCCCACAGGGACATTCATCTCCACCTGCCCTCAGCCCGACCAGGACGAGGAGCTGCCCCTGGGATGTGAGGAGCCACCTGTGGGATGTGAGGAGCCAGCCAGAGAGGGGCAGCTGGGCTGGGAGGGAGCCCCAGCAGCGGCCCCAGCCCTGGAGGAGCCATGCAGGCTGGTGCTGAGCACACCGAGCAACATCCTGCAGGACAGGGAGATCCATGAGGTGAGGGACGCTTGCCAGCATGGGCACCCACCGTCACATTCATCTCCCCTGTGTCACACAGCCATGGCCACTCTCCTGCCAGGAACTGGTCCAGTGTGAGGCCAGATGGGTGATAATCCCCCTGCCCTTTGGGAACAGTCATCTTAACAGCACCTCAACATCACCTCTTGGGGGTGGGGAGAAGGATGCCTGGGGAGCCATTTCAGAAGGGTTTTCAGGGTGAGGATGCTTGGGGAAACATGCTAGGAGCCTGCTGGGTAGTTTGGGAGCTTGAGGAGACCCTTTGGGAGCATGTTTAGGAGGAGGGTGCTTGGGGACACCCCTTGCAGGATGTTTGGATGCTTGATGAGCTCTCTCAAGAGGATACTCAGGGCAGGGGGAGGATGCTCAGCAGCAGCCTGTCAGCCCCGACTGAGCCCACTCTGCCTCAGCTGGGCCCCCACCTGCCCTCCCGGCTGACACAGCAGCCCTGGCGCCTGCAGTATTCCACCAGGCGGGATGGCTTCAGCCTGAGGACGCTGTACCGGCGCGGGGGCCAGCCGGGGTCCCCGGCCCTGCTGCTCATCAGGGACACGGAGGCACAGGTACAGCCGGGCCCTTCCCTCCCAGCTGCCCCACGGCACTGGGGGCAGCAAACCTGGCGGCATCCGGGACCTGGCCACATCCTCGCTGCTGGAGGCAGGATGGGGGACACGTCGTGGCACTGGGGAGCCCCACCGAGCACTGTGCCATGAGCCTCCCCTTCTGCTCCCCCCAGGCCTTCGGTGCCTTCTCCTCCAGCGCCATTCGCTGCAGCAGTGGCTTCTACGGGTCAGGGGAGACCTTCCTCTTCTCCTTCTCCCCGGAGCTGAAGGTGGGAGCTGTGGGCCACCAGCTGTGGGCCACCCCAGGGTGGGAGGGCTGGCGATGCCCCTGGGACTCAGCCACGCCTGGGGGACCCGACGGTGCTGGGGAGGGGTCTGTGGGGTGGCATGGCTGTGCTTGGTCCCCTCAGTTTTTCCGGGGCTGGGGGTAGAAGGCAAATCCCAGGCAGTGAGCAGGGGGGGCTCAGGGAAAGGGGCTCTGCCCAGCTGGGGGTCACCAGGGACCCTTTGCGGGACCCTTTGCATAGCAGGACAGTCACAGCCCAGCACTGAGTTGGCAGGATGTGGAGGCAGCTCACCCACATCTGCCTGCTCTGGTGGGACTCTGTGTGTGTGATGGGGCATCAGTGGTGGCAGCTGTCCCCTGATGGGGCCCCCGGGGCTGCTGGGAGGGACGGACCAGCAGCAGGACAATGCCGATAGGCTCGGCCAGGTCTTCCTCTGCAGAAGTGGGACACGGCCATGCTGGGCAGAGCCAGTTTGGCTCAACAACCCCCAGCTGTTCCTCACGGGACAGGGACAGGAATGGGGACACTGTGCCCCAGCCCACGATCCCCACTGCTGTGCCCATGCAGGTGTTCAGGTGGACAGGCAGGAACGACTTCTTCGTGAAAGGGGATGTGGACCTGCTGATGGTCGGTGGGGGCAGGTAGGAGCTGCACTGGCAACTTCAGCCACCCACAGGGCCACCAGCCCTGATGGCCACAAGAGCCCTGTGGAGCTGAGTCCAGGCACGTGGTGGTGGTTTGAACCCCAAAACGCTGGCACAGATTGTCCAGCGGCACTGGCCATCTCATTGCCTGGCTTTGCTCCCTGCCCACTCCCTGCCTGCGGGCACGATGGCATTCCTGGTGCGGCTGCTTGTCCTGTCTCATGCCCATTTTGGGGGACAGGGGATGGGGACAGGAGGTGGCTGATCCCCCAGGAGGTGGCCTGGGACGTCTCCAGGCATGGAGGAGGCAGGAGTGGGGACTCTCAGCCAACTGTGCCGTTGGCACATTCCCAGCGGCAGGTTTGGGCTGTGGCTGGACGGGGACCTGCACCGCGGGGGCAGCTGCCGCTGTGAGACCTTCCACAACGAGACCCTCTCGTCCCGGGAGGAGTTCTGCGTCCAGGACCTGGAACTGTGGGGTCTGGCCTGACCCCACCAACCACACCTGGGGACAAAGGTGGCACCGAGGGGATGCTTTGACACCGACGTCTCGTGCACAGCTGTTCCCTGCCAGGACCCGCCGAGCCTGTGGGACGGTGCCAGCCTCGCCCCTGCCTCCCTCCCCCCAACATCCCCATGTCATGTGCCAGCAGCCGGTGCAGGCAGCATGATGGGGACGGGCTGCAGTGGGGTCTCAGCCCTGCAGTGCTGCTGCCACCGTGCCGGGCTGCCCAGGGTGGCTGCAGGAGTGGCCCCACCACGGCCCCACAGAGCTGCCTGGCTGGGATGGGGGCACACGGTGGCACCGGGCACCGTAGGGCAGAAGATGAAGGAGCAACCTTCGAGAGTGGCACGATTGCGGCAGGACCAGGCACGCCCAGGAGCTGGCAGGGCTGGCAGGCAGCACAGTCACCACTCCTCAATAAACAGGCAGAGCTGCGCCCACAGCCTCGTCCTTGCCCTGGAAACAACGAATGGCACCATGAAGGTGTGCAGAGCCCCTGGTGGGGAGCAGGCCTGAGCTGTGACAGCACCAGCTGTACCCTGTCCCAGCCCAGGCCACAGCAAACAGGGGGTCAGCCTGAGGCACTGCTTCAGGGGGGTGCAGGGATCCATCCCCCCTCTGGCAGAGTCTACTGTCTCCATCCACCCCATCATCCCATGAGGACGAGGGTTTCCAGGCTATGCTGGGCATCCCAGCCTGACCTGCTCCGACCAGGGAAGGGTGACAAGAGCCCTTCTGGACCCCTTCCCACCCAGAGCTCCATGACCTGTTGCCTCTTGCCTGGCTGACAGGGTTTAGCTTCTCACTCCTGGATGCTGGGCGAGCTCTCCTCCACCATCCCTGTCTCAGCAGCAGGACCAGCCCCACGGGATTCCAGGCAGGGGTGGTTCATGGGGCTATGGCAGGGCAAGGGCCTGCCTGGTTTGACCACATTTGATGTATTTATTGTAGGAGCACAACTGGATGCTGAGCTGAAGTATCACCCCATGACCTCACCTGATGATCCCATGATCTCACCTCAGCTCCTGCCCATAAACCCGCAATTTTGTGAAGCCTGGATCCCATTGAGCCCCAGGCTGAAGCACTTTACACATTCCCCCACCCTCCCTACCCCACTTGTACCTGCGTTGAACCTCACCAGGCATTTCCCTGCTGATTCCATCTCCCACAGCCCACCCATGCCACCTCTCCAGCAGCTGGCACCTACTTCTTGCAGCACACATCCACACAGGCTGTGGGAGATTGAAGGAGAAACAGGTAAGAATGGATTTAAGCCAAGGACAGGACAGACAGAAGATGAAGCCAGTGCAGGACACAGGCAGACAATGCATCAACCAGTCCTGTTTTAAACATAACCCTTTCATACCCCCTTTCTGCCTACTCCTTTGTTCCTCCCTCCTCCTCCACTTTCAGAATCCCACCGACCCCCTCCACCATCCCCAGGATTACAGTCTGACCTGTGGCGAAGTTCCAGTTGCCTTTAGTCTCTTGAGAGCCCACCAGACAGTTGGAGCAAGGTTTGCCTTCCTCCCTTTCTGAATCCTCACAGATAAAAAAAAAAAGAATGGTTCTCCTGCTGCCCACACTATTCCCAAGGCACTGTGCCACTGGTCAGGTCCAACCTCATCACCTCCCTTACCCCATGACCACAAGGGTTGGCTTGTTGTTCACAGCTGCTCTGACCAGGTGCCCTTAGGGGAGCAGACCCTGCGCCCCCGTGCTCCCCGAATGGCCTCGACACTCCAAGTGGATGTGCCTGGAGGCCACTGCAGCCCTTCAGGGCACCCAGCTGGGTTGCCCTGGTGCCACCCAACACTGCCCAGCACCATCCGCCCGGACCTCACACACGTGTCCTCCTCACCCCTTGAGGTGCCACGTCTGCTGCTGCCGACGGCCCGCGAGCACGGCTGGGGCACACAGCACAGACACGGACTCACAAATGCCTCCCACACCCCAGGGCTGTGGCCTCCATCTTCAGCCCAGAGAGAAGAGAAGGAACATCTTCTCTGCCCTGTAGAAGCTGCTGCTGCTGTGGCAAATGGTGGTGGCAGCAGAGAAGGCACCAAAGGTGCAAGCCATCACCAAACAGACTGGAGAAAGGCTCCAATAAATTACCTTGCCCACCCAGGAAGACACCAGGACCTATTCCCATTCCAGGCCTCTCAGCACTGCCTAACCCCTCACCAACACATAGCCCCTGACTTCACGCCCATTTCACATTTCTGCCAATAGCGCTGGGGAGGATCACAGGCTGGGTGAGGTTGGAGGCACTTCTGGAGGTCACCCTGCCCAGTCCCTGCTCCCTCAGGGCCACCCAGAGCCAGCTGCCCAGGATGTGCCCAGGCAGCTTTCGAGTCTCTCCACAGATGAAGACTCCACCACCTCCCTGAGCACCTGCACCAGTGCTCAGCCACCCTCACAGTGGAAAAGTGTGTCCTGATGCTCAGAGGGCCCCTCCTGTGTGTCAGTTCGTGCCCATGGCCCCTGGGTCTGTTCCTGGGCACTGCTGAGCAGAGCCTGGCCCCGTCCGTTCTGCACCCTCCCTCCAGGTATTTATCCACACAGATGAGATCCCCTGAGCCTGCTCTGCTCCGGGCTGGGCAGTCCCAGCTCTCTCAGCCTCTCCTCATGGCAGAGATGCTCCAGTCCCTCCATCACCTTCATGGCCCTGTGCTGGACTCTCTCCAGTCTGTCCCAGTCTCTTGTACTGGGCAGCCCAGCTCTGGGCCCAGCACTCCAGGGGTGGCCTCAGCAGTGCAGAGCAGAGGGGAAGGGTTCTCTACCTGCTGCCAATACTCAGCCTAAGGCAGCCCACGACACCACTGGAACACTTGGCTGCAAGAGCAAAGTTGTTGCACATTTGTTGGCTCGTGGTCCTTTCCTCCAGGCTGCCTCACAGGTGGGCGCCCTCGGCACATCCTGGTGAAGGAGGGTGACTCTCCCCACGTTCAGGACTTTGCACGTCCCCTTGGTGATCGTCACGAGGTTCCTGTCAGCCCCCTTCTCCAGCCTGCTGAGATCCCTCTGGATGCAGCACATCCCTCTGGTGCACCAGCCATTCCTCCCCATCTGGTGTCACCCGCAAATTCACTGAGGGTGGACCCTGTCCCTCAGCAATGGGAGCTCTGGGCCTGGGCCCAGCACCAACCCCTAGGGTACCCCACTGTTACTGGCCTCCAACCAGACCTGTGCCACTGAGCCCACCCTCTGAGCCCAGCCCTGCAGGCAGGTTTCAGTTCACCCCCCTCACCCAAACACCCCTTCAGCAGCTTGCTGGGGCTGACACAGCACCCACTGCTGTCCCCTCAGCCTCCAGCCCAGCCATTTCAGCACAGGTGACCAGGTTGGTCAAGCACGACTTCATCTTCTCCCACACAACAGCTGGAGAAGTGTCTAAAAAGCTTCCCTGACCCCTGGAAGGATGCTGAGGCCAGAGACTGGCCTGCTCTCCCAGCTGTGGGCACGGCCGTGTGGCTGCACAAGGAGAGGTGGGATCCTCCCCACAGCCCCTCCCAGCCCTGCTGCACTGGGAGGAGACAGGAACCAAGAACCCACCTCTTCAAGAGGGAGGGTCTTCCACAGGAATACTTCTGGCTCTTTATAACGGCACAGGTAAGACCATTTTTAATAAAGTTCACACACTGCAATTCTTTAAAAGAATAGTAAAACCATCGTTTATAAATTTATTCTTCAGAGAGGCTCAGTTGAACATGCTGGGAAAAGAAAAGCTCTCAGAACTTAACATTAGGTATAAATTTTCGGTTTAACATAAACAAAAGATATTTCCCAAGTATAAAGTGCACCTTTTGAAACAGATTCAAAACAAACCCAAGCAACAATAACAAAATTATATTATTCTGGACAATATTTGATTTTATGCAGACAAAGGGCATAAATGCCTTCACTCTATGATATTGTTGTTTGAAGCATAATAAGCTCTTTAAAAGCTTTTAAAGAGACCACAAGCCCTTGTAACAATTACCTGGTTCACCTGCAGATCTGAAATACTGTTAGAGACAGGAACAGCAGACTATACATATGAGCACAGGCACGTAAGAAAGCAGCAGAGTGCACAACAACTTCTGGTTATTTCAACAAACAAAATCTGAGTAAGTACATGGATGCTGATTCTACTTCCCTCTGCCTAATGGCATCAGTTCCCCAGATAAAAAGGGCAAAGGAGACATGACTAGAGTTCTGCAGGTCACTCGTAGCACCTTCCCACTGGGTTAGTTTTCAGAACCTACCCTGGCCACCCACCTCTGACTGCCCAAACTGAACAATCAACGCTTTTCTCCCCATTCCAGACAACAACTCCACAGCTTGTTCTAATTTCTGAGCATTACTGAACCTTTCTTCATGTTTTTATTTTTTGAGGGCACACTTTTTTGAGCTTTTAGGTTTCATTTAATGAAAGCAGCCTTCCTTTAGACCTGAGTAAAAGATGAGAGGAAAAAGGTCTTCCTCGGTCACTTGTTCAACGGGACAGATATTCAGCAACATTCACACCAGTGATGCCAGTACAGAAAAACTGTCAGAACCCTCACAGGTCTACAAGGGGGAAAAAATGACACAGGGACAGCCATTCAGGAGAACAAGGCAGGGACACAGGAATGGAGGGATTCCTGAAGAGCCTGTCTGCCTAGTACAGTGTAATCCCAAACAAGGTGCCTTTGGTGCAGGATGGCAGAGCTGGCGCAGCCTCCGGCTGGCACTGCCCACCTGTGCTCACCTGGACAGCTCAGCACTCCTGCAACCACTCACACCATGGACGTTTTGAGCAGGCTTTGCAGTTCTGACAGTAAAAATATAACATTCAGTGTATCAAAAGTACACAATAAAACTATAAAAGACTGCATGGCACTGCAATGCATTGTTACTTCAATAAAAACTGTGGTCACTCTTACAGCAAAAGTCCTGCATCTCCATCAGCTTTTTGAATATCAGAAAAATAATCTTGGATTATCAAAAAACATCCCCTCTCC